GGCGCCGCGGGGACTGCAGGGGCAGGCGGGGCGGGGGCCTCCTCCCGTAGCCTCCTCCTCCTGGGCCTCCGGGGCCTCCGGGGCCGGCGCCGGCGTGGTCTTCCGCAGCTGTTCGAGCGGGCGTCGCGGCGCTGGTGGAACCCGCAGTTCGACTCGTGCAACCTGGAGGAGGCCTGCCTGGAGCGCTGCTTCCCGCAGACGCGGCGCCGCTTCCGCTACGCGCTCTCCTACGCCGGGGCCGCCTGCCTCCTCTGGGCCGCCTTCCTCGGGCTCCGGCTGGGAGGCGGCGGAGGCGGAGGGCGGGCGGCGGTGGCCGGGCCGGCCCTGGGGGCGCTGGCCGGCTGCGGGGCCCTCTTCCTCTTCACCTTCTCGCGCCGCTACGCCCGGCACTGCGGGGCCGCCGCCCTGGCCCTGGCCCTCCTGCTCTTCGCCCTCACCCTGGCCCCCCACCTCCAGGCCCTGGCCGGCCCCACCGACGCCGCCCCCGCCGGCAGCAGCAGCAGCAACGCCAGCAGTGGCAGCACTAGCAGCAGCGCCTCCGCCACCCCCTGCCGCGGCCTCCCCCTCCTCTCGCCGGTGGGCGGCTTCTCCATGTGCGTCGAGGCCCTGCTCCTGCTCTACGCCGTCCTGCGCCTGCCCCTCTACCTGAGCCTCTTCCTGGGACTGGCCTACTCGGCCCTCTTCGAGACCCTCGCCTACCACTTCCGCAACGACGGCTGCTGGGCCGGGGGGCCCCGCGTGGCCGCCTACTGGGAGGAGGCCCTCGCCCGGGCCCTGCTCCACCTCTGCATCCACGCCACGGGCGTCCACCTCTTCATCATGTCCGAGGTGCGCTCCCGCAGCACCTTCCTCAAGGTGGGCCAGTCCATCATGCACGGCAAGGACCTGGAGGTGGAGAAGGCCCTCAAGGAGCGCATGATCCACTCCGTCATGCCCCGGACCATCGCCGACGACCTCATGAGGCAGGGCGACGACGACGAGAGCGAGAACTCCTCCTCCGTCAAGCGCCACTCCGCCTCCAGCCCCAAGAGCCGCAAGAAGAAGCCCTCCCTGCAGAAGAACCCCATCGTCTTCCGCCCTTTCAAGATGCAGCAGATAGAGCCCGTCAGCATCTTGTTCGCCGACATCGTGGGGTTCACCAAGATGAGCGCCAACAAATCCGCCCACGCCCTGGTGGGGCTCTTGAACGATCTCTTCGGCCGCTTCGACCGGCTCTGCGAGGACACCAAATGCGAGAAGATCAGCACCTTGGGCGACTGCTACTACTGTGTGGCTGGGTGCCCCGAGCCGCGAGAGGATCACGCCTACTGTTGCATCGAGATGGGCCTGGGCATGATCAAGGCCATCGAGCAGTTCTGCCAGGAAAAGAAAGAGATGGTCAACATGCGGGTCGGGGTTCACACCGGGACCGTCCTGTGCGGCATTCTGGGAATGCGGCGGTTTAAGTTTGACGTCTGGTCCAACGACGTCAACTTGGCCAACCTGATGGAGCAGCTGGGCGTGGCCGGGAAGGTCCACATTTCGGAGGCCACGGCAAAATACCTGGATGACCGTTATGAAATGGAGGATGGGAAGGTGATTGAGCGAGTTGGCCAGAGTGTGGTGGCAGACCAGCTTAAAGGTACGTGTGCTTCCTTCGTATGAAACTTGGCTTTAAAAGATCCAGGTGGGGCAGCCATGTTGGTCTGAAGCAGCAGAGCAAAGTTGGAGTCCAGCCTGGGCACCTTTAAGAGCAACAAAGTTTTTATTCTGGGTATAAGCTCTGTGGGTCTTAAAGGTGCCACCAACACTAGACTCAGACGTCGTTCTGCTGCTTCAGCCCCACATGGCTGCCCCACCTGGATCTGTTTTCCTATCCAGTGTCTGTAATCTGGTATTTTTGGCCACTGTGTGACTGAGTGCTGGACTGGATGGGCCATTGGCTTGAGATTGTATGTGCACGCACAGTTCCTCAAATACAATGAAATGGAATTTACCAGTCCATACATATAAGGCGGGGCTGCGGTGGCTCAAGTGGTTAAGACGTTGAACTGCAGACCAGAAGGTTGGTAATTCAGCAGTTCGAGACCCAAGTGCCACGTGATGGAGTGAGCTCCCGTCTCTGGTCCCAGCTCCTGCCAACCTAGCAGTTCGAAAGCAAGAAAGTGCAAGCAGATAAATAGGTACCATTTTGGTGGGAAGGTATCAGCGTTCCGGGCACCTTGGCATCTAGTCATGCCGGCCACATGACCACGGAAACGTCTCTGGACAGCGCTGGCTCTTCGGCTTGGAAACGGAGATGACCACTGCATCCCTGGAGTCAGATTCGACTGGCTTTCAAACAAGGGAAACCTTTACCTTACATATAAGGCAGAGGTTTAAAAAGGCTTGGCTTGTTTCAGTATTCTTTACCATAACCTCAGGCTCCTGCCATGCAAATGGTGGAAAGTTGGGATGCAGTTTTGTGTGTATCCTTAGCCAGTCCCGAAACTCATTACACAGGTATCTACCCACCCCACCCCCTTTGAAGAGGGATGAAAAGTAAGGTCTTTGCATGCCAAATATTTCAGAGCATGACAGCATCCAGTCTGCTGTTAGGGCTTATATTTTCGTGTCTTTGTATAAGAGGCAGGCGATTCCTGTGTTTTATTATAAAATACGACGCTTAGGGAAGCTGAGCAGCAAACTGATTTTGTGTTAGTGTGTTCAGTAACATTTATGTCTCTTTGCTGTTCCCCTTTCCTAGATTCACAAGAAAAAATAAGTTTGCTAGATTTACAGTAAGTTGCAGCTGTTAGAACTTGAGTAGTGTGAATGAATCATTCACATCAAAAAAGAGTTCAGATAATTGCAAACTTGTTACCAGGACTAGAACAAAAACTTTAAGAAAGAAGGTGTGCTAATTCTTGTTTTTCTATCGACGCTTTTAATTTTTGCTTGCCGTAAAGACAAATGGATCTCAACGGGATATTCTTCAGGGAATGATTGACACTTTATCAGCTCCTTTAGGCTGAGTCTCATAAACCTGGAGACTAGATGAAAGGCAAAATGAGATCCACACTGAAGTATTTGAAATTGCCTTAATACCTTCAAGTTTCTGTGCATTGTACATTTTGCTTTTAAAGCTGTAGGCAAGAGCAGAGTTTGAGGAGACAGTGAGATAACCGGGCTTTTGAGAATAAAGGAGAGGGCTCGGAGTGGAAAATGGCACGAAATCAAAACACTCCATCTCCCTTAGGCAAGTTTGACAAGTCGGCTTGCCTTTCCTGGAGGGAACAGCCGTGGAAGTGCAGCTGTCTGCAGCGTTTTCAGTCCTGTGCAGGGCTTGAAGTAGCTTTCCTTTTCCGCAGATAATTTGGAATACTATATGAATTCTTTAGGAATTGTAGGTTGGCCACAAAATCTGAAGCGGTGTTTGTTTTGTTTGGAGAAATCTCTGTGCTTATTGCTGATTTCTCTGCCTGAAGTGTAGAAGATGCCCAGTGATCTAGAACAATGCCAGTGTGTTTCTGTATTTAATAACCCATTTCGCGATTATTGTTGTCTGGCAGTGTTCTATGAATTGGCCTTTATTTTATTTATTTTAGACATTTTTACCCCGCCCTCCCCGCGAGCGGGCTCAGGGCGGCTTACAAGGGGAGAATTTGGAGGAATCATTTAATTGTAGAATCATAGAGTTGGAAGGGAACTCCAGGGCCATCTAGTCCAACCCCCTGTACAATGCAGGAAACTCACAAATACCTCCCCCCCCCCAAAGACACACACACTCCCTGTGACCGCTGCTCCATGCCCGGAAGATGGCAAAAGAAAACCTCCAAGATCCCTGGAGAAAAATTGCTTCCTGACCCCAAAGTGGCAATCAGCATTTCCCTGGGCATGTCAGAAAGGACCACGAGAACTCAGCACTGAGGCAACCCTTCCTGCCCTCCCTCTCATGATCTGCCCGAGTTCACAGAATCAGCATTGCTGTCAGATGACTATCTGGCCTCTGTTTGAAAACCTCCAGAGAAGGAGAGCCCACCACCTCCCAAGGAACCCTGTTCCACTGAGGAACCTCTTTAACTGTCAGGAAGTTCTTCCTAACGTTCAGCTGACTGAACTTGGACCTGTTAGTCGCTACCAGATGCCTTAGTAGCAAATTTATGCAGAGGAGTGTATTGCTATGAAAACATGAACACTTTTATGTGCGTTTGCCATAAACTTTCATTCTAGATTGCAGGTTATACTGTGGTTAAGTGTATATGGCTAAAATAAAAGCCTTTATTTTATGGGTAGCTTTGAATTAGCCTGACACTTACCTGGTGTCACAACAACACAGATATAACTAGGGTAGTTAAAAGATATCCAGGCCCCTTCATAGCCTCTGTCTAGATTCAGTCTAGCACAACAAAATAAGAGAGGCTACAGTGAGTCAGGATTGTTCCTGTGTATTGTCAGATCACTGAAATACTTTGTGCATGCATTTTATGAAGCAGTCCCCCCCACCCCCCGAATTAAATGGGGCTAAATCCCCATCAAAGGGTGCCTGAAGATGCAGTCTTAGACATACTGGAAGTGTCTTAATTTGATGTGTGAGTCATTTCTCTTGAAAGACTTGTGCTGCCTTTATTACTCAGTGCTGATGCGACGGTTGCTGCCCGAAGGAAGAATATAAAGAGGCTGGAGGGGGCTGTGTCCTTCCTTGCTCCCTCTCTTGCAGGGGACTCGAACAGCCTTGCAAATTGCTGCAGTGCCAGCTTTCCATTTCTCCTAAGACACGGAGCTTTTAAAGCTAACATGTTCACGCTGCCAAGGAGCTCGGTGGCTGACTAATGAACAGCAGTAGCACTTGAGGGCTGTCATATAGTGCATTATACAAGGAAGCCATTCTGGGGTGTGTGTGTGTTTTAAAGGAAGGATTAGAAAAGAAGCCGAGGAAAACACAACTCTGCGAGGGTTGGCTGAGCAACTTACAAAATGCATCTTTTGTTGCCAAAGTTTAGGCTTAGTTCTGATTCTAGGAGGAGGAGGAACTGGTGGTGTAAGCGACCAGCCTTGCTAGCACTGGTAGCACGCAATGCTCCCTCTAAGCTGTGGAGTCTTGTGAGCAAAAATTCTACTTTGTGAGCTACTGGCATTAAAATTGTGAGCGAGCGAGTTGGCTACTGCATACATTAGTTTGCTCTGGAGCCACATCCTTCCTGAGCTAAGACAAAAATGTGTGAGCCGGAGGCTAGAAATCTGTGAGCTAGCTCACACTGACTCGGCTTAGAGGGAACACTGGTAGCAGGTATTGTTATTTACGCAGCTTCTGGGTGTGGAGAGAGGGGTTTCTGCGGTGATGTGGACAGAAGAACTGTTTCTGCTGCTCTAACTGTAACTTTCCCATAGGCATGAAAACGTTCCTGATCTCTGGTTTGAAAGCTAAGGATCCCCTTTGCAGCTGCTCACAGACTCTGTTTCCGGGCCTTGAAGCGGGAGACAGAAGCAAGTTACAGGGAGCCTCATCAGTGGAGAACATTGGTGACTTAGCAAAGGGTTGCAGACCACCAAAGAAAAACAAGGTTTGTCAAATACATTCTTCATACCTCTGTTGAGATGCTTAGCTAGAAACGATGCCATCATGAGAGGCAAGTCAGACTGAGTGGGTGACTGGCCCAAGGTCACCCAGCGGACTTCCATGGCAGCCTGGGGAGTTGAAGCTCAGTCTCCCACATGCTGACCAAAACACAGACACAGTCACATCATTGGCCGGGAGATCTTTAATCGGACAGCTTTGTGTTCTCGTGATTCAAATGCATATGTGTGGTATGTCTGTGTTTGGCTTGTCTTTGCTGTGTTTATTCCTGATGTTTGCATTGTTTAATTATCAAAGACCAGCCTGTTCCTCAAAGAAAACATAAATTGGAGAGGAGCAGCAGCGTAGTTAGCTGACATGGGGGAAATGCTGGAAAATATGCAGCTGTGTTGATTGTTGTGAATTCCTGAAGAAGGAAAAATAAACACTCTATTCCTTTGCAGTTAGGCTTTGCATTTGTTAACCGAAAGACTGGGAGAGAGGACCAGAGCCGGATGTGGGAATCTAGACCTGAGTCCCCAGCTCCGGCCGGCTTTTGAGTTTTAGGCCAAAGTGTCTGTAGGTTGGCTAAACCTCCTGGTAGGGTTACTGGGAAGATAAAAGTACTGCTGCTCTGAGCAGTTGGAGGCTGGCAAAGTGTGGTGATTGGGGTGTGTGTGTGCTCTTGCTTTTCACATGGTAATCTGTGAGTGCATCTAATGGGAGAGAGTCCTGAGCCACAAATAGAGCCAGATAATTTCATGTACTTGGAAAGCAGCATTTATGATTTTCTTCAGTGCTTTGCAAAGCATTATCGGACTGCCCCTGTTCTTAAGTGTGAAATTTGTTCCAGCAAGAGAGGTCCTCTGCCAGGAATTTAATCTGTCCATAGACTTGAGGGGGGGAAATGGTTATGATAATATTCACTGCTGTTTCTGGTTTGTAGCTTATATTTGATCTTTCTTTCATCGTTTCAGACGGGCTTAACTTACTGGTTTTTTAAATCTTTTGCTACCCAAATTGTCTTTCAAATTACTTTGAGGTGTGTAAATCCTTCTACTTTTCTAGTAGTTCTTCTTCTGCTGTATTAGAGTGTGACACTCAGGGGAACTGGAGAGGTGAGAGGATGATTGGAGGCAGCAGCAAGGATGTTGCCACCCCCTGAATCTGGGGCAGTGGGAAGTAGACTTACCCCGTGAGGAGAAAGCAGCAAAAACTCTCATGAATTTGCCTCCCTTTGGATCCTCTTCCCAACCAAATAAACTTTGGGCATCCAATCAACAAACTACTGTGTTTAAAAGGCCAGGTCACTTAACAGGAAACTTCGGAATTTAGCCCTGGATGGACACAGCGATGCTGCTTGGTGGAACACAGTGGTGTTAGTTGGGCTCTCTTTGTCATGCCTGCCAGGTTTCAAGCTGGTGAGACTGGGGCTGTAGCCAGCAGATTATGATCGACTTCTGTTCCCCTCGTCTACTGTCCTGTTTCATAAGTGTATACATCTGAAATTGTGCTCACAAGACAGAGATTCTCTTGGTGGGCTCACTCCTCTCTATAACGATTGGTGTTGAAGACCCTCTGACTGAATGTTCTGGAGACTTCAGCATCCATGCTTTATCTCCAGAGCATAACAACTGTGGGACAGTGTCAGGTAACGCTGTGAGCCCCGGACATATATCTGGGCATACCTTCTTTGATGTGGTGGTCTGTGCAGGACAAGAGATAGTTGATCTGGTGGTGGTGGCAGAATTCAAGATTATGGCGTGGTGGGGTTTAAAGAAGAAGAGAAGAAGAGAAGATATTGGATTTATACCAGTGTTCCCTCTAAGCTGAATTAGTTTGAGCTAGCTCAAACTTTTTCTAGCCTCCGGCTCTTACATTCTTGTCTTAGCTCAGGAAGGATGGCTCCAGAGCAAACTAATTTATGCAGCAGCCAAATCGCTTGCTCACAACTTTAGGGCCAGGAGCTCACCAAGCAGAATTTTTGCTCACAAAACTCCACAGCTTAGAGGGAACATTGATTTATACCCCATGGCCCTTCACTACCCAAAGGTGTCTCAGAGTGGCTGACAAACTCCTTTCCCTTCCCCTCCCCACAACAGGCACCCTGTGAGGTAGGTGGGGCTGAGAGAGCTCTTTCAAGAACTGCCCTTGAGAAAACAGCTCTGAGAGAACTTGTGACTGACCCAAGGTCACCCAGCTGGCTGCATCTGGAGGAGTAGAAGTGGAAGAAGAAGAAGAGATTGGATTTATACCCCTCCCTTCACTACCCAAAGGAGTCTCAGAGCGGCTTACAAACTCCTTTCCCCCCCACAACAGAACAGACACCCTGTGAGGTCAGTGGGGCTAAGAGAGCTCTTGACGGAGACTGCTCTTTTTTCAAGGACAGCTCTTATCAGAGAACTACGGCTTGCCCAAGGTCATCCAGCCAGGTGCAAGAGGAGGAGGAGTGGGGAATCAAACCTGGTTCTCTCAGAGTAGAGTCTGTGCACTTAACCATGACACCAAACTGGCTCAAGGGACAGGGCCAAGTAAAGACCCAGTTAACATCCTCTGCTCCTGGCGAAGGGTGGCTCTGAAAGAGCTTCCTGGCATCTCTGGGGAATTTCCCTGCTGATTTGGCTGTCAGTCATGTCAATCAATTGGTGGGTCCCCAGTTGGTCCTAACACCGCCAGGGAACTTCTGGGTCCCCCCCCCCCTTCTCTAACACGCTGGGGAATGTGAAGTGTTTAGAATGACACTTAGAGCTGCCAAGCCTGGTGGAACACAGGAGTCCACAGTCGAGCCTGTGGTGTGGCGGTGAAAGCAGCAAAGACTGTCCTAATTTAACTCCACACAGATAAATTGTTTCCTAAGCTATAAGGGAGGGAGTGGTATTGTCGGACTTTTCATAAGTCTCTGCGGTACTACTGTAGTTTCTAGGCTGTGCTCCCTCATTTCCTGAGGTAAACCTAGTGAGTCTTCGTATTTGCTCAGGGCTTCTGGGTTTATTTTGGTTCTTTACACATTGATATGATAAATGTCCGGATTTCCCACAGGTATAACATTGTCTGTCCTTCCAATTACTCTCCTTGGTTTCCTCCACTTTTCTATCCAGTCCTTTACCCTCAGGTCTCCTTCTCTCAGAGACAGGGCTGGCTTGCGAAAGTATTTTAGACTTGAACTCCCTTTGTTCATATTTTCCCCAACCCCCCCCTATTGAGCATTAGCTTATCAGCCCATTCGGCTGCCTGTTTTACATTTTCAGGAAGCTTATCTTTCACCAAAAGTCTTATTTCTGAGGGAAGTTGGGAAAGGAATTGATCTAGAATCATCAGCTCCCTTAATTTTTCTCTAGTGTCAGTTTTGGCTGATGAGATCCATTTGTCAAAGGAATCACCTAATTGTGCGCTGAATGCTTTAAGCGACTTCTCTTTTTGAGGAGTCAGACTCCTAAATTTTTTTCTGAAGTAATGAGCACAGAGTCTAAATTTGTCATACACAGCTTCTTTATATTCGGCATATACAACAGGCGTATCTGAGGGAAATGTATTATAAATCTCAGCTAGTTCCCCCCTAATTAAACTGGGTAAATATTTCATATATTGAGTCTCTGGTATTCCCCAATTTTGAGCAGATTTTTCAAAAGTTGACAAAAAGATTTGGGGATCTTCTCCTGTCACATACATTATAAAATCCTTGGGTGTCACTCGAGGGTTATCATATCTATTCTCTAGGCTTCCCTCCTTTTTCTCCTCAAGTTTAAGTTTCTCTCTTTGTAAATGCAATCTCTCTGCTTCCAATTGTAGTTCTCGTTCCCTAAGTGCTGTGGTCATTTCTAATTCCTTCTCTCTAAGTGCAGTTTCAACCTTCCACTTTTCCATTTCTCTATCGCTATTTTCTTTCAAAAACTCCAAATAATCAGGATTGGGATTAAACTTTCCCTCACTATCATGTTTACTTGTTTCCACCGCGTTTTGAATCAGACTAGCCCTCATCTCTTCTGCCCCTCTTCCTTCATGAGGTAAATTTAAGTCTATACATTTCTGAATTAAAGCCTCCTTTAATCCCAAAAACTCTGCCATTTTTCTGTCTTTTTGTATTTCTTTCTCCCAGACTTTTTATTTCACTCAATATATGCTCTCTATAATGTGTTCTCTTCCTCAGGATGTTCGAATCCCACCACCAAGCACCACTTGTGACGTCCCCTTATCTGGGGAGGCCTGGTTTCACTTTAAAGTGTTCTTTTTATTTTGTTCAACTGGGTAGGTTAGGCTGCCACCAGGAAATTTTAGGCTTTCCAAACCTTTATACTTTCTTTTGGCTATCACTGGGTAGGTAGGTCGGTTTTAAGGCTTTCGAGGTACTACTGTGGTCCTGGGAAGTATTTCTTTCAGAGCTGGCAGACTTAAATAAAAGAAGATTTATTGAAACAGTTCATAAATAAAAGTGTAGAACAATGTAACGTCTCACACAAGATCTGCTCCCTTTCTGACAGGGATTTTTCAAGTAACTTTGTAACTCATTACTCAGGGTCATATACATTTCCTATTTCACTCCAGTCTGTCACTCAGACTTTCATTTAACTTTTGTTTCCTTATACATTCAACTTTTCTTCATACACAGAACTTAACTCTTGTATCACACACAAGACTGTCTCTCTCCCTCAGACCTCAGAACGAACTAAAACTTAACAACTGTCTTTATCAACTGTCAAACCTCTAACTGTCACTCCTGAAGGACATACCCATTCATCCACTCAGAAACCCTTTCTAAAACCCCTCTCCCTCTCTGTCAATCACGAATCACACCACACTTGTCTCTTCAAGCACTCTAGTCCATCACACAGCCATGCAACCAAACCTTTAAAGAGACACACACACATATAAAACAAGGAATCATTACACTGCTCTTTCAGGAACAGCTGTGCCAGAGCTTGTGACTGACCCAAGGTCACATCAACAGGTTCAAGTGGAGGAGTGCGGCATCAAACCCGGTTCTCCCAGATTAGCATCTGCACACTTAACCACTACACCAAACTGGCTCTCATTCAGAGATGCTGCATGCTCCTGGGGATTTAGTTAGTCTTGCTCTGATGGATGCCTTTTTTTGTTTCTGCAACCTGAAGATGTGGACAGAATATCTGGAGTTGATCCAGCCCCTGGTCCTGCAGATCCTGTTCCATCCCAGCTGTTGAAATCTGCCGGAGGAGAACTTCCTTATTTATGGCACAAACTAGTAATAATTCTTTCGTTTAAGAGATGGCTGCCTCTGGTGTTGAAAGAGGCAGTGACGGGATCCTTATTGAGGGGAGAAAAAAAACCCTCTGTAGATTCTTCAGGCCTGGATAAACCAGTTTCCGATCGGCAGTTTCTAGGCAGCATCCCTCAAAGTGGTGACTCCAGGTATTTCTGGATGATACCGACTGTATAGCTCTCTGGTTTCTGACCTGTATATGGCACCAACTTGGTCACTGTAAAAGATGATTTATGCTGGCCAGTTGATTATGGGAGTACATCTTTGAGGATGGCTTTCTTGGCAACTTTAGGTAACCATCAACTGTGGGATTTTTTGTATTGTTCACCTTAGATGGGTTTTGGATGCACTTTTTGTCTTTGCTGCGATCAGAAGGAGGTACTGTGGGCGTGCTTCACAGTTTCATCGTCTCCCAGTGATTTCACACAGATTTTAAACTTCATGGGAGAGACTCTCTGGAGATACAGGCTGAAGGATCAGTAAAATGCTGATAACTCTCAGCTCTACCCGTCCTTTCCAGATAATTGCAGGGAGGCAGTGAATGCAGCTGAACCAGTGTCTGAAGGCAGAAAAGCACTGAGTGCATATGGATAAGCGGAGTTAGTCCAGGCAAATCACAAGTATTTAGGGATGTAAAGCTGACCCAAGAGGAGGTATCCAGCCTTTTCTGTCAGAGAATATGCAACCCATGTAGATTGTGCTTGCAGGTTGGGACAGCTCTTACGGACATCTATGGTGATGGCGACGAGCGCTCTTTACCAGTTTACTTGGGTTGCCTACTGCAGCTGTTCCCCAAGAACGGCATTCCTGTCCCGTGAGGAGACACCAACTAGGCGCTTACCAGCTGCTCTCCTTTATACCATTTTTATATCTCCTATAATTGGCATTACGTTCTATGGCACACATGGCCCGGCCCGACAAAGTGACATTTATGAGAGCCAGTTTGGTGTAGTGGTTCAGTGCGCAGACTCTAATCTGGGAGAACCGGATTTGATTCCCTACTCCTCCACTTGCACCTGGCTGGATGACCTTGGGCAAGCCATAGTTCTGATAAGAGCTGTCCTTGAAAAAGAACAGTTTCTGTCAAGAGCTCTCTCAGCCTAGCCTCCCTCCCAGGGTGTCTGTTGTGGGGAGGGGAAGGGAAAGGAGATTGTAAACCGCTCTGAGACTCCCTTGGGTAGTAAAGGACAAGTGTCTTTACGCGCTGCATTCTCCAATATCCATCTGTTTGGGCATGTAGAACATCTGTGAGAGGGTTTTTTGATGGAACTGACCCTTTTAGAGGTGAGGTTGATGGGGAACCCATACAAGGGCCTTTTCCACTCCTGTCCCCCCCCCCTCAAATTTGAAACTATACCCCCAGGGAGGGAGATCTGGCACCGTCATTGCAGGCCTTCTGTGGCCAGTTAAAGGTCTTTTCTGTTCTGGAATTGTGAGAGGGAGGTACATGCGGATTCTTGGTGCTTACCAGGAAACATCAAAAGAACAGATCCCTAGTCCAGGGAGCTTAATCCTCAAGGGATGTGAAGGAGATGGAGCGGAGAGGAAGGAATTACATTCAGTTCAGTTACTGAGGCTTGATTTTAATGGGTGGGTGGGTGGGTCGAAAGAATGTGAGATCATCTGTGCTAAATTGTGATAAGGCATGCTATCAGTAATGGTGAATAAGTAACCATATTATAAAGACTTCTAAAATCTCTGTAGACCTGAATTGATTTCTCTGTTGGTAGTTTTGGCTTGCCACATTAAATTAGTTAATCCGTCGCTCATTGTTTGTAGGCTGTAACATTTGTGCGTTCTATAAGTACTTTCCTGCACATAAAGATAAGTCACACAAAAGTAGTTACACACACAAAAGAAGTAACATTAAAATCAATATATCAGCATCAGTGACCGTAGGTGAACAACAGATGATAAGACGTGATGAAAATGCAGTTCAGGAGAGTACGGCGGATAAAACTGTGAAATATCTCTGCAGGGTCAGATGCACGGAATAAAAGCAGCTTAACCAAAACTATCCAACTGAGTATCTGCCTCTCTCGCAGCCGACTGAATCACCAGTTCCTGGGGTCAGTGACACTTTTTGCCTGGCGGCTCCGATTTAACAAGAAAGGCACCAAGCAGCCGGAGGACGGAGACTCTTCTCAGCAGCGATCGCTTATTTGTGGAGCTCTTTGCTCTTTGCTGATGTCTGCCTTGCCTCAGTGATGGGGACCTCTGCAGCGGGGTTTATACGGGAGGGGGTGGCCTTGAAGATGCTCACATCGCAGTCTTTTAAAGGCGAGCACCAGCGCTTTGACTTGCACACAGGAAAAAATGAATGGAAGCATTGCTGGGCACAGGCACAGTGGCATTAGCTGTTCTCCAGCGGCAGCTGATATTATTTCATACAAAATGTGTAAGAACAGTTTTGTGATGTTGCCAATAATGTCAGATCTCTCCATCAAGCCCAAAGAATACTCCAAAGGTAGAATTGAGCAGGATGGCTGGCAGGTCACAGAGTTCACTGCATGTCCGTGAAGACTAATCGGCCTGGAAAGAGCAAGCACAGTCCTTCTTCAATCCTCCTTCAGTCCCAGCCGCTAAAGAAGTCTGAAAACCTTCGAGAGGGTGTGGTGGCCACGTATCACAAGGCTTCCAGTAAATGCTTGCGAAATCTTCATCCCACTTTGAAGTTTGACAGGATATATATATGAAGGGAAGCTCTGAATTGCTGGGACACCCTCCTGCCTGTACTCTGTGCAGATGGCTCCTCGAAGAAACTACTTGTTACAGCTATTGGAAGCATTTGAGGAACATTTTGAAGCTGCTGTTAATAGTACAGTCAACCATTTGCATAGTTCACATTATAGATAATTCAGCTCAGAGACACATGGACTATAGAACATTTGGTGACAGAGCTAACTCTGTTCTACCATCTGTTGTATCAGCCTATGGTTTGATTTCTCAGCTCGGCGTTGTTTTGACTGAAATTGAAAATGTGTCGGTCAAAGAGAATGGTGGGGTGACAGGCGGATGGTTTCCTTCCTTTGGGTTGTGAATCACTGGGCAGCTGTCTACCTCACTGCCAGTTCAAGTGGAGCCGCTTCATGTCCTCCAACACAGGAAATCCCTGCTAAAAATTCCCAGTGTTGTGTTGGGATTTGTAGCAGCCAGTGTTTCTTAGGAACACACTTAACAGGTTACGCTGAGTAGAGGACTTAGCAGTATAAAACATTGAGCAGAGACAGTCACAGAATTTTGTTGTTGTTCAGTCGCACAGTTGAGTCCGACTCTTCGCGACCCCATGGACCAGATCACACCAGGCCTTCCGGTCTTCCGCTGTCCTCTGAAGTTTGCTCAACTTCATGTTCGTTGCATCTATGACACTGTCTAACCATCTCATCCTTTGCCGTCCCCGTCTTCTTTGACCTTCAATCTACATGTCTTGAATTTACATGTCTTGATTTGATGCTTGGCATTTGAATGTTTCAGCATGTAGTTTGGGTTCATGAGCTGTTGTTTGGCCTCACAATTCAGATGTGATACTCAGGGACATGCATTTGGATGTTTCCAGTCCAACATTACACCCCAGACTTGCTGTTTCATTTCATCTCAGGGATATCTGAAATGGCAAAAAGGCACTCTTGAAGTTTTGACCCAGAAATTTTTGGAAATTTTTTAGTTATTTCTGTGGGGCCCATAAAAACATGAATCAGGAGGGGTGGGGAACAAACTCAGTCAGCTGTGGTATCATTTTTGCACATGACTTCCTTTGGATTACGGGGAGTGAGACAGCTGGTGAAATCACCAACTAGTATTGCCCAAAGCTCCATGGGCCACAGAAGGAAGAGGAATGTGCAGTGGTGGGTCTAAATGATACCCCCAAGCGGTGAGTAAGCTTCGTGTTTCAGAGGGAATGCAGTCAGTCCCATGTGTCACGAGCTGATTTAATTCCTTGATAAGACTGTTGTGCAGAACAGCCTCTCAGTCTTATCTGGACTGGAATTCAGTTTATTGGCCCTCTTGCAGCCCGCTGTATTTCTGAAGACCTCTTTGCTGTGGTTATATTATGTTTTCAGGAAGGGAAAATGGCTTCCGCAGTGCAGACCATTCACAGCATCCTTTTGATGTTCGCTTGTTCAAAACGCTGAAAATGTATGCAATTTGGAGATGTCAGTGAAAAGTGTTAGCAGCGGGCTAGTTGTGAAAAGATAAAAATGTTTATCTCTCTTTCTCTCTCTTTCTCTTTCTCTCTCTTTCTCTCTCTTTCTCTCTCTCTCTTTCTTTCTTTCTTGGTTTTTAGGCCTGCCCTTTGTGCAATGTTACACTGGCTCCCACCTGTGCAGCAAGTATAGAGGAAGCAGCTGTCCAAAACGGGTGTCAGGACGAACACAAAAACCTCACAAAGGTATCTTATTCTTACTTGCTCTCTTCTGTTGGCTGCTCTGCTGCTTAGCGATAAGGTCAAAAGATGTAATTGTTCAGCAGTCAGAAGGATTTCTGCTTGTGGAGTACAACATTCTTGCCTCCCGCCCCATCCTGTTGCAGCATTTGGGGGAGGGTTCAAGGTTTTATTCATGGTCTATGACCAGAACATTAATCACAAACAATAAAATGCCTCATTGGGGCTATACAACAATAATAAAATAATTCACAATAGAATCTGAATAATACCTCATAATAAAATAATTCAGAATATAGTAGAATGCTACAAAGTCTATTAAGAAGTTTAAAGTCTCAACAATCCCCTACATGAGCTATTACAGTTTTCCTATGCCTTGTAGCAAGCCAGCCAAATCTAGCTACCCGGTAAGTAACATTGTGATGCCTGTCTGAAAGAAAGCTCCTCAGTACTTTAAAAACTGGCAAAATAGTTAAATATTCAGTGATTACAATGGATCTTTGCTTCACTGGAGAGGAGGCATTTTCTTCTATGTAAAAATCTTTATTTCTAAGGGAAGGGTTCACAGGAAATCTACAAAACAACAAAGACACCTAAGACTACATCTTTACACTTGACCATGCAGTCTACAACAATGGAGATTCTTCTTCTTCTTGACCCCTAGAAGGAAATCACCTGAATGCATTAACCAATGATTGTTAATAAATAGGCTTCACTTTCCCGGGCTTTCTTCCCCTTGGCTCTGTGCCAGGTTCCCTTCCAGGTCAGTCTAAACAACAGCACACCAGGTAAACACACATTAACCCTATAATGACTGGATTTTAGACCTTGCAACACACACATTTCCAACACTCAGAAGGCATGATCTCTGTCTGCTGTTTAAAGGCAATCAATGACACAGGCAGAGGAAGGGGCTCGCGAAATTTGTTCTGCAGCTTGCAGTCAAACAGGACGTGGTCTAGCGCTTCTTGGGGGAAGGGCATCTTTGCCCGCAGCAGGGAAGTGGAGGCAAGAAAGTTGTGCTCTGCTGGCGGACATTGTCCCATCCATGGAAGTGCCCCAGGAGATCCCAGCCCGTGGCTGACAGTCTCCACGAGGAAACGTTTCTGGAAGCTCCACTAGCAGATGTTTCTAGAAGCTGTGGAAGAGTCAGAACTGTTCAGGTATACAAGAACATCTGAAGAAGTCTGCTGGATTTCAACAAGGGTACCCTCTTCTGCTGTTGACACCAGCAGACGATGGATGCTTCTAGACCACACCGTCTTTGAGCACTGAGGCATAACGGCTGCGGCTTCTTGCCTCATCCCCATTTCACTGGGGACCTGAGCCACCTGTGCCCGTGGCCATCCCTGCCCCTTGCGCCACCGGGGCTCTCGTCGGGTCGTACTGTGCGGAAGGAGTCTCGTTCTGATTCTGCTGCTCGTCAGGCTCAAGGGGGGGCGGACCCTGAGCTCTAGCACAGAGGGTCAGATGGAAAAAGCCTTCTTTACGCTTTCCCCCCATAAGCCCCTATCATGGCTCACTTTTTAGCAGCTAAGAGCCTCGAGTGGGTAAAGTTGAGTCCTTAGAGCACCTTAGAGACCAAAAAGATTTGGGGTGGGTGGGGGGCATGAGCTTTCTGACCAAGGGACCTTTGGCTCTCAAAAGCTTATCCCCCCCCCCAAAAAAAAACACCCAAAAAAGCAAACAACCCTTGTTGGTCTCTTAAGGTGCCGCTGGCCTTGAATCTGGAGGTCGGCATGGCTGCTGGGCTGCCCTCTGCAACTCGCCCTCAGAAACGCTTTCTCTTCCTAGTGGATAAATAAGGCAGACTAACATGGGGAGGCGGACAGCAGAATTCTGTGGCAACCACCCTGAATGCCGCTCGCTGAGCTGTTCCCTTGCTGGATCTTATTTGCATTTCCATTTCATCACGGTTTGTAGAAGAGCCTCACTTGTGCACTACAGATAAGATTAGAATTTCAGCAGCACATCCGTATGCAAAAGAACCTCCTCAGACAAAGGTCCTCCCTTAGGATGTTTCACAGCCTGGGGAACTCCTGCAAGATAATGACTCAGCCCTACCCCACCTTCCTGAATAGATATAAATGACCTGCCTCCCATTTTTCTTCTCACGCTGACATGGGGGGTACGCCATCTTTCTGCGTTATGCCCCTGAGGAGGCCAGTCACAGCTGCTGGCGAAAGGTCAGGTCCTACGATGCCAAGACCACAGCCACACAGCCCGGGAAATCTACAACAACTAACTAACTTCTGCTGTTCTGCTGCAGGTGTTCTTTTTTTAAAAAACCCTTTTTCATAAAATCTGAACATTCAGCCTCCGGAGGTTGGGGTCTCTTTTCAAAGTGCCTTGAGGCGGCTGTTCCTGGCTGAGTGAATCATGACGGTTCATTGAACGTCAGGCCACAGCTTGTCCCAGGGAGATTCTTTATTGGGAGCATCCCTAATTCAAGGGCGCCTGTGGCCCTGGGAGCCGGTGCGGAAGAGGCCCGGGCCCCGGGGGGCATCCGGGAGCAAGTCCCTCTTGGCTCGTGGGCCTCCCAGGCTGACCTTGGGCAAAGAACAGCCTCTCTGCCTCTGGCGCACCTCACAGGGCGGCTGCGAAGGCGGAATTCTGCCTGGTCTGCCCTTGAAGTCGCTGGAGGGAAGGGTGGGAGGCCGATGCGATAAGAAATGCAGGCAAAGTGTTCACGATCATAAAGAATTTGATATTTTGTAAATATATCCCCTAGTTAAGAACATGAGAGAAGCCAGTGTTGGATCAGGCCAATGGCCCCTCCAGTCCAGCACTCTGTCACACAGTGGCCAAAAATACCAGGTGCCATCAGGAGATCCAGCAGTGGGGCCAGGACACTAGAAGCCCCTCCCACTGTTGCCCCCCCTCCCCCGGCAGCAAGAATACAGAGCATCCCTTGCCCCAGGCCGAGAGTTCCTATCTATACCTTGTGGCTAACAGCCACTGATGGACCTCTGCTCCATATGCTTATCCAATTCCCACTTGACGCTGTCCATGCTTGTAGCCGCCACCACCTCCTGTGGCAGTGAGTTCCATGTGTTCATCACTCTTTGGGTGAAGAAGTACTTCCTTCTATCTGTTCTAACCCAACTGCTCAGCAATTTCATAGAGTGCCCACGAGTTCTTGTATTGTGAGAAAGGGGGAAAAAGGACCTCTTTCTCTACCTGCTCTATCCCATGCATAATCTTGTAAACATCAATCATGTCACCCCTCAGCTGTCGTTTCTCCAAGCTAAAGAGCCCGAACCTTTCTTCATAGGGAAAGTGTTCCAACCCTTTTATCCTTCTAGTTGCCCCTTTCTGCACTTTTTCCAATGCTATAATATCCTTTTGAGGTGTGGTGACCAGAATTGCACACAGTATTCCAAATGAGGTTGCACCATTGATTTATACAGGGGCATTATGATACTGGCTGATTTGTTTTTAATTCCCTTCCTAATAATCCCCAGCATAGCATTGGCCTTTTTTATTGCTGTCACACACTGTCTTAACATTTTCAGTGAGTTATCTACTACAACTCCAAGATCTCTCTCTTGATCAGTCTCTGCCAGTTCAGACCCCATCAACGTGTATTTATATTTAGGATTTTTGGCTCCAGTGTGCATCACCTTGCACTTGGCCACATTGAACCCCATTTGCCATGTTGACGCCCACTTGCCCATCTTTGACAGATCCCTTTGGAGTGCCTCACAATCCTCACTGGTTTTCACCACCCTGAACAACTTCGCAAATGTAGCCACTTCACTGCTTACTCCAAACTCCAAACCATTAATGAACAAGTTAAAAAGCATCAGACCGAGTACTGATCCCTGCGGTACCCCACTGCTTACCACCCTCAAATGAGAAAATTTCCCATTTATACTCACTCTCTGTTTCCTATTAATTAGCCAGTTTTTGATTCACAAGAGGACTTGTCCTTTTATTTAGGAGCCTTTGATGAGGAACTTTATCTAAAGCTTTCTGGAAGTCAAGGTAAACAACATCTGTTGGGTCCCCCTTGTCCACATATTTGTTCACTCCCTCAAAGAACACTAATAAGTTAGCGAGACAAAATCTTCCCTTACATAACCCATCCTGAGTCTGCCTCAATAGGTTTTGTTCATCAATGTGCCTACTAATTCTTTCCTTAATAACAGTTTCCACCAATTTACCCGGTATTGACGTCAGACTGACTGGCATGTAATTTCCTGGATCTCCTCTAGAACCCTTTTTAAAGATTGGAGTGACATTAGCTACCTTCCAGCCCTCAGGAATGGAGGCAGATTTTAATGAAAGATTACATGTTTTTGTCAAGATACCCACAAGTTCACATCTGAGTTCTTTCAGAACTCTTGGATGTATGCCATCCGGGCCTGGTGACTTATCAGTTTTTAAGTTGTCTACCAGTCGTACGACCTCTCTCGTCACCTCAGTCTGACTCTGGTCTTTCAACACCCCTCCCGAAATCAACGGTTCTGGAGTAGGCAAGCGTTTCTCTTCTTCCGCAGTGAAGACAGAGGCAAAAAATGCATTCAGCTTCTCAGCCATTTCCCTATCATCCTTCAGTACTCCTTCTACCCCTTGGTCATCCAAGGGCCTCACTGCCTCCCTGGCTGGTTTCCTGCTTCTAATGTATTTGAAGAAAGTTTTATCATTGGTCTTTACGTTTTTTACAATATGCTCCTCATATTCCCTTTTTGCCTACCTGTCCACAGTCTTGCATTTTTTTAGGTACAACCTATGTTCTCTTTTATCAGCCTCACTGAGACTAGCTTTCCACCACTTAAAGGAACCCATCTTATGTTTTACAGCTTCCATTACTTTGTTTGTTATCCATGCCTTTTTCTATACCTATTTGTGCCTTTCCTAACCTGCGGTATATATTTTATCTGAGCTTCCAGGATTATTTAAAACTATTTGTTTCCGAGCTTCCCGAATGGTTTTGACCCTTTCTACTTTTCCTTTCAGTTTCCTCTTCACATGTCCCGTCATATCAGAGAAGTTACCACTTTTAAAGTTAAAAGTTGTCTCCTGTCTTAAGATAATTGTTTAATGTGCTGGGTCTGCTTTAAATCAAGATGTTTAATCTGCCTGCCCTGAGTTGTCTCCTCATGCTTGAGTGTGCCGGCTGTCCCATTCAGAAATGAACAAATAACCGTGTTTTCACGCTGAGATGCACTTAAGGATGTAGGGATTGGTCCAGACTAAATTTCCCACCATTAGTACAGTACCTTCCTGCCTCCCCTCTCCCCCTTGTCCACAGATCTCCATAAATGCTTCTTGTGGGGAACGGGGGGGGGGGCTGAGGTGGGTCTACAGCTGGAAGGGGCGATTACGGAAAGTTGCTAATTTAGTCTGGTCCCCGTCCTAACAGTCACAATGCGATTTGTGACTTTTCTGGTGTCTTCTTCTCCCCCTTTCTTTGCCCTGAACCAGGGTCCTGCGGGATGCAGTCCAAAGGCCCAGAACGGACTCCTGAGCCCTCCCCCGGAAGAGAAGCTGAGCAATAGCCAGACGTCGCTGTATGAGATGTTGCAGGAGAAAGGGAGGTGGGCCGGGGTGAGTCTGGATCAGTCGGCTCTTCTGCCATTGAGGTTCAAAAACATCCGAGAGAAGACGGACGCCCACTTTGTGGATGTGATTAAAGAAGACAGGTGAGAAGGAGCCGGTCACCAGTTTCCAGACTTCACCAGGAAGAGCCCCCCCCCAGCTTCTTTAAGCTGCCTGCCTTCAGCAGCTGGCGCCGCAGGAAGCCCTCTCCTGGTCTCTTGAGTTCTCTCCTTGCTTTTGTCCCCCCTTGCAATTCTTGTCAGGGCCTGGAGGGCTGCTGTGCCGTAGTGGCTGTGAGTGTCAGTGCACCCAACTCACGGATTTCCCCTTCTCCACAGAGTTCCTCTGTGGCCTTCGGCTGGCTGCTACTGTTGTGGCCTCAGCCCCACTTCTGCCTTAGCCCTGGCCTGCCTTGCAGGGTTATGGCAAAGGTTGCTGGGTGAATGCATGTGAAGCACTTGAAAGACTGGAGGGTGTTGTGTGATTTCTCAGCTTGGGCCGCCGTGCTTCTTTGAGCCGTGTGTTTGTACAGCACACCTGTAATGAGCAGAGCTGGAACTTACACAAAGAAGGTCTGCCTAAGGGCTCGTGCTCTCAACTACTATAGCACGTCACTGCTCAGGTGGTGTTTGAATGTGCATGCCGTCCAGATAGGCTTCAAAGGAAGAACCTATCTGGCAGTGTAATGATTCCTTGTTTTAGAGTGTGTCTTTAAATGTTTGGTTGGAGTGCAGTGATAGCCGAGGAGAGTGATTGAGGGAGACAAGTGTGCTGTGATTGGTGGATGACAGAGTATGGGAGGAGTTGTTTGGAATGAATCTCTGTGTGTGTGTCAAATAAGTCAGTTATGAAAAGTCAGTTAGAGAGTTCAGTTGGAGTGATTCAGTCAGTTAGTGAGTCTGAGAGAGAGTGAGATGACTCAGTTCTGTGTGGAGATTTAAAGAATTCAATGTATATGTCTTTACAAGTTTAAGTGTGGAAGAGATATGAGAAGGGTCTGTGAGACTCCAAAGTTATAAAAGAGAATTAATACAAAGAGCTTTGCCAGTGTGGCTACCCAGTGAAAGAGAGATTCCTGTCAGAGAGGGATCTTATGATCAAAAGACTGTGTGTGATACCTTGCCAGTTTATTTTACCAGTTTCTCTTCCCCAAAACAGTTAAAGTGAACTAGCAACTCATTTTTGTTCCAAAATTCAACAAATCATATTTTGTTTGAGTTTAACTCAGAATTCAGTTCAGTCCTTCCTCAGGGCCACATAGACCTTTGAAAGGCCAATTGACAAAAAATCATATTCTCCCTCCCCCTATCTCTCTTCCTGTGTTTCAAATCCTAATTTCTTTCTCTAATGTCAATATTAATAATAGATCACAATTTCAACTCATATAGCATAAACATTCTTACTATTAATTAACCTTCATATTGAAGCTACCCTCATAATTAATTGAGTACTTTATATTCTATTTCCTGTTTGAACTATCTATTTCCTGTTTGGGCTAACCACAGCTAAAAAGTCAATCTATCTACTGGAGATCAAAGGCAGTAGGTATCAAAAAACAATATATCTATGTTTTACAAATCCTGCATATACCTTACTGCTAATTTCCTTTATATTATGTGCTATCTTAAGCAGTACAATTTCACTGTTAAGCTCATCGAACATTTAGCACACTCTAGACAGCATTTACACATTAAAGAAGCTACATCCTTGAAACTCTACTATCTACTTAGTTGTTCTAAAATATGTATATATTTGTATCAAATGTGTGTGTGTGTGTGTGTGTGTATGTATATATATATATATATCATATATTCTAATAGCCAACAGAGGGCGCCGTGCGGATACTTAGTCCGAGGAAAAGGAAGCTCGCTCTGCCTCAGAAGCTGCTCCTATTTGCTCAGTACACTTCCTGTATTTGCACAAAAATGCAAAAACTAAGAAAATCGCTCCAGGGATGGCTGAATTCCCCCAAAAACCCTTTGAAATGGGCTCTGCAGGGATCTGCTTCAGACACCAACTGTGAGAGAGAGGTTAGAACGTT